GGACAAACTTCCACAGCACACCTATAGCATCTAATCAGTTAATGTATTGTAATGCCATAAATTTATAACGTTATAATGTGTTAGATATTATAGCGGTATAATACATTAACCTGTAACGCGTTGCAACGCACACGTTACAGCTTAATGCGTTATAATGCAATAGGAATTTAGTAACGTGTTCGTAACAATATACAAAATATTAACGCGTTAGTTGAATGTATAGCGTTGTAGCATTATAAAATATGAAAAAGTCGTTGATAAAAATGCATTATAACACTATAATTCGATTAATCTGCATATTTTGTGAAAAAATTTATAACTTCGATTTTTTCAGTTATTTTATTTGAAATGTTCTAATACAACAGCGAGGAAACAAAGCAGAACTATGTAAAATGCTCTAAGAACAGAGCACACAGGCAGCTGTCTGTGAGACATAAGAACATTAAGGTTTTCTTTCTTTGCATGCTTTGAGTCTTTTTCAATTTTAACTATAATCGCCAACAACTCTTCATCACTAATATAGAATGGAACAACATCTCCACAGGAAACAGCTGCCAAAAAAGTGGAATTAGAGTGTTATAATGCATTTTTATCAACGACTTTCTCATATTTTATAATGCTACAACGCTATACATTCAACTGACGCGTTAATATTTTGTATATTGTTACGAACACGTTACTAAATTCCTATTGCATTATAACGCATTAAGCTGTAACGTGTGCGTTGCAACCAAGGGGGGACAAGCGTACTTCTGTACTTCTTGGTACTTCCTCGTGCTTCTTTGTACTTCTCTATACTTCTTCGTACTTTCTTCGTACTTCTTCGTACTTCTTCGTACTTCCTTGTACTTCTCTATACTTCTTTGTACTTCGTCGTACTTCTTTGTACTTCGTCGTACTTCTACACTCATGCATTTTTTTTACCATTTTTATTTTATATGGATGCTGATGTTATTGCATCAATTTTAATAGTTATGCCTAAATAGCACTTGAAACATATGGATAATATAAAATCAGACGAAAAAAAAAAAAACCGGATAAAATAAACTATAATTTACTATCAATAGATATGTATTGCAGTTCTTTAAAAAAGTAATTTAGCCGTTCTTCTGTAAGTCATTTGAGATATATAAATCTCTAACTAATAACATAATGACAAATAAAAAGATGAACAGCGTACGTAAAGAACTTCGAGAATAAAAAAGAAGTAAAGAAATATATAAAAGCTTATTCCACTAAAAACTGAAAACGATAAACAGGTACTAAAGATAAATGCAATTCTAAAAGGAACAATAAAATACATGGTTATGTACGACTTCTTTTAGTTTTTTGTGATGATGAAAATTGTGATGATGGTTGACCACGTTTTTGAGAGTTTGTATGTGTTACTGGTGACTGTATACTTGAAGAAGAAGCTGTCATAACTGATGATGCACCAGCGCCAGTTGAAACAAAAGCGGGAACTTGTAATATAGGTTGTTGTTGCGCTGGTGTTGTTGATGCTAATGGAACGATAGTGGACGACGATGAGGTGCTTGTGAATTGTTGAAGGCTCTGTTTCTTTTGTTCTTCATCAATTTTTTTCAAGGATTTTATATGATTACAGTTAGTTGTACGCAAATGTTTTTGAAAATTAGAAAGCTGTATCTTTCCAGCTTTTAATGTTAATGTTATCAATCGAGTACAGTTACATTTAACACTAGCTTTAAGCGAGTTATTTTGATTATAATTTACATTCAAAAAGAAATCTTTTCCTTCCTTTAGATCAAATGAATCTAGCATAAATTCAGTCTAATGCTCAAAACACCATTGTTTTAATAAATCCAATAAATATTTTCTATGTTCAACAATTGATGTCAATAGTATACCTTTAGATGATGAAGTTGTTGTTTGTGGTGCTACTGTATTCGTTGTTGTTTGTAGTGCTGATGTGTTTGTTGTTACTGATATATCATGAGATGATGAAGTTGCTGTTGTTTTTGATGCTGATGAAATTGTTGTAATTGGTGGTGTCGAAAATGATGATGAT